TCAAAAAAGATATGTACCAAACATAATGTAATTATAATAAGTATAATTTATTTTATTATTTTTGCTGCATTTTGGTCATTCTATCTCGTACCAGTAGGCAATCTGAAATTCATATCAGGTACTTGTTCTTCTACTCAATCAGCATCGCTTACTTATTTTTCGAATAATATTCATTTCCCTCTGAGAGGTATACTAGTTTGTCTTATTCCAGTAATACTTATGGTTTTAGCAAATGCACGTATGATAATGAATATTCGTCAATCAAGAAGACGTGTGACAAATGGTACAACAGTACCCTCATCAGATATAAATATTCCAGTGCCAAATATATCAAGTTCTACAGGAACACATACGCGTCGAATGTCAGCACTTGATCGAATGTTATTCTATATGATGTTAGCCAATGCAATTACATTTATTACAACACAAGTCCCATTTCATCTTTTTATCTGTGTAAAAGGTAGTGTGAAAGGATTAAATTCAAATATTTCAACATTTATACGTGCAGTACTTTTGATTTGGTCAAGCGTCTATTTTGGTATTGCATTTTATTTTTATTGTTTAGCATCACCATTATTTCGTCAAAAATTTATTAAAATGCTGAAGAGAGCGATTTTTCTTCAAGAAATAACTCAAACAATAACACACAGATCAAAAATCCATCAATGAACAGAAATTAAATTCTTACACTTCTAATATATGTTGTCGAATAGCGTTAACCCTTAGAAATATTTGTGATCTTTCCTTTTATGAATAAAGTATTTACAACAAGTTTCTTTAAAATAATTTGAACTTGAATAATATTTTAAATGATAGTATAGTTCAAACATAATGTATAACAAAAGCTATTCTGTAATATAGATTTTTATTGTTCTATATATTTGATGTTTTTGTTTCAATTATTCCAAGATGAATATATTCAAGAATTTGTATTGAAACGAAGAATATTTTGAGGCTGTGTCTGTTAAAAGAATTTGCACTCTTACCAAACTATGCCAAAACATCTAAATATCGAAAAGAAATATGAACTAACAGTTTAAAATAGTCTTTTTCCGAAAAATATACATACATCGTGCATAATATCGTGATATATTAAGTAATTAAGATATATTTTCATGCGTGTTATAACACAATTATTCTTCATTATTCTACTTTTGACAACAGTGACATCGGTAACGTCATATGTGTAATTATATAATTACTTTAATACTTCTTTAAAAAGCTACTGTTTTCTTTATTTTTTCTTTCTTATACTACTCAACAATGAACATGTCCTCTACTCCAACGATTTCTAACTTCACAACACAGAATACATCAATAGTGGTTACAACTTCACCCTTACAACTTGGCATTTTGATTACAACAGTTAGCGCATGTTTTGCGTAAATAAATTTAGCTTTATATATCTATTTTTTTTATTGAATACTTTTCTCTTTAATACATAGTTATGGACTTGGTTTTGTTGGTAATGTTTTATCATTAATAGTATTTTGCACTCAAGATGAATTTCGAAAAATTTCAACTGGTCTCCTATTTATGTTAATAACAATATCAAACTTTATACATTTATGGACATTAGCTTCAGATTATTTAACTGTGTACAATTACGCTCTGTACCCAAATAATTTTATGCAGTGTCGATTCACATATTATATACAAAATATCAGTCGTGCATTCAGTACTTATTGGATGGTTACGGTTGCACTTGATCGTTTAATTCGTACCGAATATCCAATGCGTTCAAAAAAGATATGCACTAAACATAATGTAATTATAATAAGCATAATTTATTTTATTATTTTTGCTGCATTTTGGTCATTTTATCTCATTCCAGTAACCAATCTAATTTTCATATCAGGTTCTTGTTCTTATGGACAATCAGCGTCGCTTGCTTATTTTGTTAATAACCTACATTATCCTCTACGAGCTGCACTTGTTTGTTTTATTCCAGTAATACTTATGGTTTTAGCAAATGCACGTATGATAATGAATATTCGTCAATCAAGAAGACGTGTAACAAATGGTACAACAGTACCTTCATCAGATATGAATATTCCAGTGCCTAATATATCAAGTTCTACAGGAACACATACGCGTCGAATGTCAGCACTTGATCGAATGTTATTCTATATGATGTTAGCCAATGCAATTACATTTATTACTACACAAGTTCCATTTCATCTTTTTATGTGTATACGAAATAATCTGACAGGATTAGATTCAAATACTTTATCATTTATACGTGCAGTACTTTTAATTTGGTCAAGTCTTTATTTTGGTATTGCATTTTACTTTTATTGTTTAGCAGCTCCATTGTTTCGTCAAAAATTTATTAAGATGTTGAAGAAAGCTATTTTTCTTCAAGGAATAACTCAATCAACAACACATCGAAGAAAAGTCAATTGATGAACAGAGATTAAATTTTTACAATTCTAATATATGTTGTCTAAAATCGTTAACCTTTAGAATTACTTGTAATTTTTCCTTTTATGTATTAAAAAAATATTTTAAGAAGTTTATCGTCTGTTAAACTTATAGACGGAACAAAATAAATTTTGCCACAAGGCTATCATTGTAATTCTTCTTCAATTAATTTTTTTTGTACATGAAATTTTCATAATAAATTCGTTCAAAATACGTTGAACTTGAACGACATTTCAAATAATACTATAGTTCAAAAATGACGTACAATCAAAGTTATTTGGTAATGTAGATTTCTATTATTCTGAGATAAATGTATTCAAGCATTTGTATAAAAGAAGAATCTATAGACGCTGTGTCTCTTATCAAACTCTGCCAGAATAGTTAAATATCGAACAAATATCGACTAGCAGTTTAGAATAGTTTTTTATAGAAAAATAAACATACATGGTGTGTAATAATGTATTATATTAAGTAATTAAGATATATTTTCATCCGTGTTAAAACACAATTATTCTTCATTACTCTACTTTTCATAAATATCACATATCGATAACGTCATATGTATAATTATATAATTACTTTAATACTTCTTTAAAAAGCTACTGTTTTTTTTTATTTCTTCTTTTTTATACTATTCATCCATGAGCATGACATCTGATCCAATAACTTCAAATTTTACAACAGATGATACACCAGTAGTGGTTACAACTTCATCATTACAACTCGGTATTTGGATTACAACAGGTTGCGCATGCTTCGCGTAAGTAAATCTAACTTTAAATTTGATTTTTTTTATTCACTACTTTTATTTTTTATAAATAGTTATGGACTTGGTTTTGTTGGTAATGTTTTATCGTTAATAATATTTTGCACACAAGATGAATTTCGAAAAATTTCAACAGGACTTTTATTTATATTAATAACAATATCAAATTTTATTCATTTATGGACATTAGCTTCAGATTATCTCACTCTATACAATATCGCTATGTATTCAAATATGCTTATGCAATGTCGATATTCATATTATATACAGAATATCAGTCGTGCAATGAGTACTTATTGGATGGTTACTGTAGCACTTGATCGTTTGATTCGTACTGAATATCCAATGCGTTCAAAAAAGATATGTACCAAGCAAAACGTAATTATAATAAGTACAATTTATTTTGTTATTTTTGCTGCATTTTGGTCATTCTATCTCGTACCAGTAAGCAATCTAAGTTTCATAGCAGGCACTTGTGCTTCTATTCAATCACCAGCGCTTACTTATTTTTCGAATAATATTCATTTACCTCTGCGAGCTGTACTAGTTTGTCTTATTCCAGTAATACTAATGGTTTTGGCAAATGCACGTATGATAATGAATGTTCGTCAGTCAAGAAGACGTGTAACAGATGGTACCACAATACCTTCATCAGATATGAATATTCCAGTGGCTAGTATATCAAATTCTTCACGAAAACAGTCTTATCGAATGTCGGCACTTGATCGAATGTTATTTTATATGATGTTAGCCAATGCAATTACATTTATTACAACACAAGTCCCATATCATCTTTTTATATGTGTACGAAATAATGTGCCTGGATTACCCTCAAATACTTCTTCATTTATACGTGCAGTACTTTTAATTTGGTCAAGTCTTTACTTTGGCATTGCATTTTACTTTTATTGCTTAGCATCACCATTATTTCGACAAAAATTTATTAAAATGCTGAAGAAAGCCATTTGTCTTCATGGAATAACTCACTCAACAGCACATAGGTCAAGAATCCATTGATGAACAGAACTAAATCCTTACAATTATTTTAATATATGTTGTCGAATAGTGTTAACCTTTAGAATTATTTGTAATCTTTCCTTTTATGTATTGAAGAATAATTTTTTTCCAATAAACTTGATTAAACAGATTCACTGTTTTTCGAATAATAGTAAAAGGACTTCAAGATTATTCAGTATTTTCTGGGGATACTCAGTCTGCACAAGAATTTTTTTTCTCATATATTACAGTAGCAGGACAATAAAAAAGAGACTGGCACTTTCGGTCAGATTAGGCACCCCCTACATAATTACCCAACTGTTATTAATCAACAATATGACGTATGAAGTTTTTTAAGAAACAACTGATGAAGTTCAACATGTGTCATAACAAAATAATTAATGATCTGAGAAAAAGTTGTTATCTAAGTTGTTGATAAAGATTTGCGCACATTTTATTCTAGTATACCTACGTCAATGTAATATATAATATAAAAAAATCACTTCCGATTTTGAAGTAAATTTAATCTTATTGCGATCTTTTTTATATGATCTATAACAGCTTGTAATTATACATAATTTAGATGTTTGTTCACATTTTATAATAATAATGTTTTTTTGCGTCATTGAAAAAAACATGCCAAGGTCATTTCTATAATAAATAGAGAAAATAGTTCAGAAAAACAGCTAGAAATTAATACTCAACAATAATAATTCCCGAGAAAAATATGATAAAACTTTGTCATCGTCATCATTTCTGTCCGAATTCATATACCAAAAATGTAGATAGCAATAGTGAGTCAATAATTTCGATAATCTTTTTACAAAATAATGATGATATTAAACAATATACTTCAAAATAGAACTGATTTCTTCAGTTGTATCTAGTCATGTTTTCATATCTTTAAACTCTTATAATAGTTTTTAGTGATAACTACCTTATAAGTCAATATGTTGTTGCTTGCTTAAATATAAGTATGAAATGAAATTCGGAATGCAAGCATCAAAAAGAAAAGAAACTGAATAACTATTGAAGTCTGAAGACAAGCTTTTAGATGCTTATGTGAAATGTATAAAACGACTAGAAACTAAAAAAAATAATAGAACATTAATTATCAATCACAAAATATTTCTACATATACAGAATATTCTTAAATTAATCGTAAATATGAAGGAATTAAAAATATGTGAAATAATATCTACTCATGTCATGTTCGGAATAGTGTTTATATTATATGATGTAATTTTCTTCAATATAATAGATAAAATAATCAATGGATGGTATATCACCTATTGACTTGCGGTTGTTTTTTTTTTACGAAATTGAAAACTATTTATAAGTATGATTTTTATTGTCCTCTATTAAGAAAGTACATTTTCATATGATAGTCTCTAAAGCAATCAAGAATACATGAAGAGAATGGATTTTCTTAGGGCATACTAGTATAAGAGATAGTGTGGATTGAGATGCAGAACGAAAAGAAATATGTACTAGCATCGAATGGAAAGTAAAGAAGGAAAGAATGTACTGGTATGATATTAGCTAGTAAATGTTACAAAGATGTTTGACATACATAAAAAATGTACTAGAGATACATTTGTTTCGTCACTACATTATGACGTATTCATATGTCACCAAGAATCTAAGGATAAAAGATAATATTTGTGTTCGATATCATATAGTTAAAATAATGAAGCAAATATTTAATAATAGTTTAATACAAACACAATTTTTGAAAACCTGAATTAGATTTTAGAAAAAAATATGTGCTTCTATTTTGTATGAGAAAACAACAGATAATATATAATCATTCGTTATTTTCGTGATAACTGTAAAGTTTTGGGTTGTATTCTGTCAAATTTTAGAAACTGACTTATTCTTATCCTTTCATCGAACTTAAAAAGGATGACTTTTGTCTGTTATTTAATATAAAACATCAATGTCGATTAAATACCAGTGTTTCTTGAGTCCTCATAGTCGAGTATTAAGATAATATTTTATTTCTTGTTACATTTTATCATTATTTTTTTAATGATTGATCAATCATTTTAATTGAGTAATTGTCTGAAATAATCTCGCAATATATTTAAATATTTGATTTGTTCGACATAATTGTCTTACTGTAGATAAATCGGTGCACAGGAAGATTAGATGGTAATACTACATTCGATCGTTTACTCCATAGAATTGCAGAACCTGGCCAGCAATATTATATATATATTAGAAATGGATCACAATAAAAATGATCATAGATTGATATAAATCAGGTGAAATACACTTTTGTAAGCACACCTGTTTTCCTACACTTAGTAAAATACCACTGATTCTAAAGATTACAGACATTTTATTCTTCATTAACATTACAGTATAAATCAAGTTTAGAAGCAAAATAGTTTCTGTATATTATTTCAATGTTCTATTTATTAGCATATTTATCAAAACCTGACATTTACTTAAGAAAGTGTCTACAAACACTAGACATAAGTATATTTTATGATTTACATGTTTTACAGACAATAATCTTTCGCTTGTCTAGATATGCAAATCGTTTATGTTATTGAAATTTGTTATATTTTATATGTAAATATAAAGAAAAGAACCTTGGTCGTAAAAATATTTAAAACTAGAAAAGAAAGATGAACAAAACAATTATACGAACAAATCATAGTTATATTCTATTATTGTAATACATAATAAACTCTCGTATTTATTTTATCTATCAATAATTTGAAAAATATTTCTTTCGTTTTACATCTTAGTTTTTATATACTCTTTCAAGTTGAATGGATACATGTAGTTCTTTTATAGACGAAAAAAAATATTACTTTTTTTTCTCTTCATTTCAGGATTGAATCATATTATTAATAAATAAAAGAAAAAAAATATCAGTTTGCTTACTTCTCTCATTTAATCATTACTTGTCGAAGTAGAAATCTATAAAGTATAAAATACCAAGTGTGATTATATAAAGAAGTGAAAATAAATTCTATTTGAGTTTTTATATTTACAAGTGTAGCAATGTTAAAGAAAACCTACTTATTAAATATTATTTTTTTATGTTTTGTGTGTTATGCACAAAGTCAAAGCTCGAGTTTATCGACAAATAGTTCATTTACTACAATAACATCAACAACAATGACTGAAGCAAATAATATTCTAACAAGTTCAATATTATCAGTAACCTCAGATGCAATTCAATCTTCTACAATAAATTCAAATAATATGACTTCATCGATGACTTATGCATCTTCTTTAGTAACTACGATGCCCATCGGTAATAGTTTAATAATCTTAGTCATATATAAAATACACTTATTTTATAGCGACAAATATCAGTATAACTTACATATATATCGTCCAAAGTAATTATTCTTTACAATTAGGAATTATTAACGATACTAATGTTGAAGCAAATGTATCAGACTTCGTATGTAATATAAATGTTTTAGTATTATACATTTTTGCATTTTTGAATAGGTGGTGAATTCATTCAACTTATCAAATTTTAATATTATAGTAACAAATATTCAAATCTTATCTAAAACGAAGTATAACATAATATATTTTTTCGAAAAAATTCTTTTTTTTTATTATCTAATAGAACTATTTCATATGTGAATCAATATAATATGTTAGTTAATATTTTATTTACAAGTACACGAAATGATTGCAATGTAACTTGTATATACAATTCACAGATGATACAAGCAAATAATTTTTCTTTACCAACAACTAATGGTAGTCTGGTAGATGTATATTCTGATTCAGGGTCATTATTAGAAACTGGTATATTCCATTAATTATTGTTTGATTATCAAATAATTTATATTGAACAGTTTTAGATACAACAACTGGAATAGTTTTGGATACAACAACTATAAAAAGTTCAACTGGTATAGTTATTTTCCAGTTATTCATAAAAATACATTTGTAAATTTCTTCTTTGTATAGATAAATCCACATTAGGACTATCAGCAAAATTAGGTATGGGTTTGGGTATATCGATAATTGGTGTTTTGATTATTATGGAAATAATTTATCTTAGTTGGAAATATGGATTATCTGGTAGATCACGTCGAGAACAATACGGATTGTCTAGTACAGAGTAATTACATTGAAAAATAATTTCGATGTTGTTTTAGTTTTAAGTGAATAATTATACTCGGTTTTTTTGTGATGAAAATAAAGAAACTTGTATTTATATCATAGTAGTTTAATATTGATAATCAATGCGTATTGTATAAAAAAATACAGTCAAGAATGTCCTCACAGAAATGTCCTTTCACTAAAAAGAAGTCGACCATATTAGTTTAAAATATTGATTTTGAGGTTATGAGTGGATGTGGGTGTCGATGACGGTATTATTTTGATTCCACACCCACATCCACCACCCATGTTCAAAACATCATAAGCACACAAAAGTAATAATTTAGTTCAAAGGATATTTTTTGTAGATGCAAAAAAGTTTTCAGAGGACATTTTCAAAAGGACGTTCTTGACTGTCACCGTATAAAAGTACAAAAAACTTATCATTGTCTGTTTGTCTATACCCTTGATTTTTTTTTTTGAAATATATCAGATGTTTTTACGACTTTTATTTTTAAGAAGACTCTTTACTACTGATTATAAAAAATGAATAGTCTCGTTTAATATTATCTTCAAAAAGAAACGTTTTAAGAAACCATAATTGATTGTACAGGCTTATATTCATTACAATGATATGTTCGTTTACCAAATAAACACCAATCAGCATAACCTTTTATATTATTCGTTTTACATGATTCTATTGTACATTCCGCACATGATAGCCTAAATTGAGTTTTTCTTTATATACAATACATTAAAAATAATAAAATATTTACGGATAGAATTTGTTAATTAGTTTATTCTTACAAAAACAATTGCATTGAACAGCGATAGTTAGATTTATACAGAGAATTAAAATGAGAAACGAACGAAAGAGATTAAACATAATTTTATTATATAAATTATCTGTGGCGCTTAATAAAAACTTCTATTTTCATATAAGGAAAGTGTTTATTCAATAGTTGATGATCAGAATATATGTCAAACATTTTCTTTTTCATCAATTGTATTATAATAAATATGAAATACTCAAAAACAGAATAAATAAAAATTAATCTAAAAATAACTCTTAAGCAATAAAGAATAAAATTCTTCAATGTTCTCGCATACTTATCTTGTTAAAATTCAAACATACTTATAAGGTATCAATACACATATGGTGGATTTCATTTTAAAAATTTATTCAAATAAAAATCACATGTACATATATATATATATTTGATGTAAGTTACAATGTTAATTCAGTAGTACATTTTAGCCCAGAAGAAAAGTCATACTAGAGAAGTAATGAAACAAGTTGTACAACCAAAGGGAGTCGATTATAAAATTTTCAAGTGCTTATATGAAATTTGAAAAATATACCATAGACCAATCGATATATAATTAGATTTATTTTTTGCAATACGAGAAAAAAAATATTCCGGAATAATTATTTGAAAATTTAATTCACAATAAAGAAAAAAAAATATTCTATCTGACAAAATTCACCAGTATTTTATTATTCATCTTTTTCATAACAAAAAATAACATCTTCATCTGTTCCAAATGCTTTTCGTGCTAAATCAAAATTTTCTTTCGTTGCTGTACAAAATCCATCTTTTTTAGCTGGATCAACATAACGAATAAATTCATTCGTTTCATTTTCTATATAACCAATAACAAGAATATAATGACCTTGATATGATGAAGATATTGTTGGAACTAATGCATCAAGTATTCGATCAAAAGTTGTTTTTTTACATGTACAACATTCAGTTTTATTAGCATCAACTAAAACTAAACAAGGTGTTCGATATTCAATTAAATGTCTTTTTATATCCAACCATTCAACTGAACCAAGTTTAACATTTGATGCTTCATTTGCAAATAATTTATTAACTCGTTCACGATCTTTATCAATTAAATTTTCATAATAAGGTACATTATCATATGTTGATGAACAGCCTATTGTTATTGTATGTAAAATAGCTTTTATACTTGATTGATGAAGTAGATGTAATAAATCTATAGTCCATGTACTTTTATTACATTCATAAGTACGTAATAAATGATTGAATGTTGATAAATCAAGATGATAATAATCAATTATCATTTGTAAACATGTTATACCACAATCCCAATTGGAATTTTGTTGAAGATGTTTTACAGGTAAGATACAAGACATTATCTGAAGAAAAAGAAAAGATATTTAAGATTAATATATATAATTGTATATCTGCACTTTTCATCAACAAACATCCGTACTGCTTTACGTCGCTAGGTGCTTCCATCATATGTCAATATTCAGACAAACATACTGTGCACAGTAATACGAGGAAAAAAAGAAGAGAAGAAAAAAGAAAACTGAGAACACGATATATATATGTGATGAGAAACAAATCAAAATTTCAAAGTAACAACCAACGATAGCAGAAAAAAGAGAGAGAGAAGAATAAAAAAAGGAGAAATTTGATTCAACCAAACAACATCTCTGCATAACTCAGACCAATACTACATTTGAATCGTACAAAATACTAAGATTTTACGTTAATGGCTGATCGTCGTTTACCAAATCAGACTGAATCTCGTGGTGTTAATACGACAAAAACAGTACCAATAATAAATGTCGTACGTGACGATATTCAAACATCAGCTATAGCAGCAACAGCTGCAGCAACAACAATACCTGAACGTCGTCAATCAGTATTTCGACGTTTATCAATGTCTATGGGTAGTCGAAAATCATCAATGTTACCACCATCTAATCAACTTCGACCAAATACATTTCGTATGGAACCCGATAAAGAATATCGTTTTCGTCCTTATCGTGTTCAACCGAAAGTATTAGAAGTCTTAATCGATAGACTAAAAGATAAAACATATAATCCATTAACTGTAAATGAACTTGTGAAAGAAATTACGCGAAGTGTTCATCAATTAATGAAAAATTTTCAAATGCCACGTTATAAAATTATTGTTCAAACTGTTATCGGACAAAAATTTGGACAACTTTTACGTATTGCATCAAGATCTTTATGGGATCCGAAGACTGATAATATGATATCAGTAAATTATGAAACTCAAGATATGGTTGCTGTTGTTACTGTTTATGCTGTATATCTTGAATAGAATGAATGGAATTGATTGACAGATACATACAAAAAATTTATTCTATGGCTTGTGTATTTAACCATTCAGAAATAAATATATAATGAGGTCGCTCATCGTTCTGATTAAAATTGCTTTTTTCTTTCATTTATTGTGAAATAAATATTAGCTTTATGAATTTTAATAAAATTACTCAAATTGTTTTCTTTTTGATTAGTTTATGTGTTTACTTTCGATAATGAATTTCATGTTTTTCTAGTATAACAAAATGTTATAGATGGTTGGTAACATCAAAGATATAATCAAATATGTCATAGACAAACGAACTTCAACTTATTGTTCTCGCTAACCAATTATAAGCGAAAATGACTGACAGGAAATATTATCTATAATTGACAAGTCCAAAGTTTTATCTCCAACGTAGATTATGAAGACAGTTGTGTAGAAAGAAGCAAACAGATATTGATAAATATTATTATACAACAGTTAGTTTTCATATAGTCGCAAAACAATGCAATTCTTAACTTCAATAAGTATTATTCTTGTATTATGTATGATGATGATGATTTCTGTTAATAGCTACGGGTAAATTGTATTTAAATTAAATTTATTTTGTAAATCTTCTTTTATTTCTAGAGAAGGTAGTTGTATGTGTCATAGTTCATATCAATGGACTCGAGATTGTTGTGGTCCTACTGGTGGATATTTTATTCATCGTAAATGTTACAATACATTCGGTTTATCATTCATACAATGTTGTCGATATGCTGGATTACGTGGAGCTTGTATCGCTTGAATAAGAAATAATTTTTTCATAATTATTCTTACTTATCTCTCTTTAATTCATCATAAGAATTAAAATAAAAATCTTAAAATCATTCTCTATTCTTTGTATAACCTATCATGATAAATATAATCAGTCTTCTTTCAGAATATATACACATTAGATAATATTGTACTATGTCAAGGTGAAGAAGATATGTGTAAAAAAAAGAATCTCGTAATGATATCAATTTTCTTACGTTCATATATGAAACAAGTGGTTATAACAGATGCATTTTGATAGATTCACTCGTTCTTTTCTATACATTCGGCAAAAGAAAAATAAACTTATTTAAAAGAAAGATATTCCTCTGATAATGTCATCATCTAATGTATATGTACAGACATACAAATCGAGGTATCGAACATATATCCTATTTATTTATCACACCGAATACAATGAAGATTTTGTAAAATTATGACTGATATCGTTCACTTTTGCTTTGTTCTTAGCTGTCGACTATTTATGTCTTTGTTATCACAAGTATAAATACACATGCAAATAGTCACATATTTATCTTGAATTTCTAATCTATATCGAATATATTCAAAACTACTTATCTTAATATTTTAAAAATGCAATCAAAACTTATGAAATTCATCGCATTAATTTTTGTTGGTCTTGTCTTATTTACAATGACAGCTTCTGTTCAAGGGTATTTATCCATATAGGAATTTATATTGTATATAAAATACCATTTTTGATTATTTTTATAGAGAACGTATTCGTTGTGAGTGTTCTGGAAACGTCGAACACACTGGTCGTTGTTGTAGTGCAAGCAACGGTGTTATGGAACATGGTCGATGTTTTTACGAACGCGATAATCTATTTCTCGGATGCTGTCAAAGAGAACACCGTCAAGGCGTTTGCACCTAATTGTACACTTCAAGTAGAGACTAACTAATTTTCTTCTTTTTAATAATGTATCAAATACTTTTTAATGTACTATAAAAATTTTAAATAAAATTCTTTAAAATAACAAAACATGATCTAGTTAAAAAATATAAATAATACAATATATCAGCTCTCGATATTAAGCAATATGTTTCTCTCTCTCTTTTCGTATTAAGGTTTATTGAGGAGAAAATAAATAATTTCTTAAGAAGAAAATGATCATCCTTCTTCGATCATATATAATGATAAAATTATTTTCTACTTTCTTACTTTTATTTACTACATGAACTAAATAAACAGAAGCATTTGTTTAATAAACTAAAGTAACACGACGTCATATACTAGAAAATATCACTAATAAAAGCTAATTTAGTTAAGTGAAATTTCTAAATCAAGATGGATATTTTCTAACTAGCATAATATTAAATTTTTTGTAAAAGTAATAATTTATTAAGTTTTCGTTTTCCTAGAGCTTAGTTGTATACGTAATAAGTCATATCAATGCACTCGAGATTGTCGTGGTTCTACGGGTGGATATTTTATTAATCGTAGATGTTACAATACATTCGGTTTATCATTCATACAATGTTGTCGATATGCTGGATTACGTGAAGCTTATGTCGCTTAAGGGGACTCACTCCTTGCCTGCGAAACTTTTTCAAAATGTTTTTTCATGTATAGGTACGGATAGCTTCTATATGCTGACCTTATCTGAAAAACCGAAAGTCTACTTTTTTATAATATTGAACTATGTGAAGGTGAATAAGATATATGTAAGAAAACGTATCTCGTAATGATACCAGTTTTCTTAAGTTCGTATATGAAACAAGTAGTTACAACGGGTACATTTTAATAGATTCACTCGCCCTTTTCTACACTCAACAAAAGAAAAATAAACTTCTTTGAAAGAAAGATATTCCTTTGATAATGTCATCATCTAATGTATATGTACAGATATACAAATCGAGGTATCGAATAGAATAGATGATTTTGTGGAATTACGAATGATATCTTTCACTCTTGCTTTGTTCTTAGCTGTCGACTATTTATTTCTTTGTTATCAGAATATAAATACGAATGCAAATAGTCACATATTTATCTTGAATTTCAAATATATATCGAATATATTCAAAACTACTTATCTTCATATTTTGAAAATGCAATCAAAACTTATGAAATTCATCGCATTGATCTTTGTTGGTCTTGTCTTATTAACAATGACAGCTTCTGTTGAAGGGTATTTATCTATATATCAATTTAGATTGTATATATAAAAACACTTTTCTGATTATTTTTCTAGTCAACGTATCAGTTGTGAGTGTTCTGGACACATTAGACACACCGAGCGTTGTTGTCGTAGAAGCGACGGATTTATGAAACATGGCCGATGTTCTCACCAACGCGATCGTCGATTTCTCAGATGTTGCGAAGAGGAAAATCGTAGAGGCGTTTGCTCCACCTAATTGTACACTTCAAGTAGAGACTAACTAATTTTCTTCTTTTTAATAATGTATCAAATATTTTTCAATGTGCTATAAAAATTTCAAATAAAATTCTTTAAGATAACAAAAAATGTTCTAGTTAAACAATATAAATAATAGAATATATTAGTTTTTAATATTGTACTATGTCAAGGTGAAGAAGATATGTGTAAGAAAAAGCATCTCGTAATGGTATCAATTTTCTTATATTCATATATGAAACAAGTGATTATGACAGACACATTTTAATAGATTCACTCGTTCTTTGTTCGACAAAAGAAAAATAAACTTCTTTGAAAGAGAGAGATTCCTCCGATGATGTCATCATTTAATGTATATGTACAGATATACAAATCGAGGTATCGAATAGAATAGATGATTTTATGAAATTGCGACTGATATCGTTCACTTTTGCTTTGTTCTTAGCTGTCGACTATTTATTTCTTTGTTATCACAAATATAAATACGAATGCAAATAGTCACATATTTATCTTGGATTTCTAATCTATATCGAATATATATTCAAAGCTACTTATCTTCATATTTTGAAAATGCAATCAAAACTTATGAAATTCATCGCATTGATCTTTGTTGGTCTTGTCTTATTAACAATGACAGCTTCTGTTCAAGGGTATTTATCTATATTGAAATTTAGATTGTATATAAAATAACATTTTTGATTATTTTTATAGTGAACGTATTCGTTGTGAGTGTTCTGGAAACCTCGCACACACTGGACGTTGTTGTCGTAGAAGCGGAGGAATTATGGAACGTGGCCGATGTTTTCATGAACGCGATCGTCGATTTCTCAGATGCTGTGAAGAAGACCGTCGTAGAGGCATGTGCTTCGCCTAATTGTTCACTTCAAGTAGAGACTAACTAATTTTCTTCTTTTTAATGTATTATAAAAATTTTAAAATTCCAAATAAAATTCGTTAAAATAATAAAAAATGATTTAGTTAAACAATAAGTTTCTCTCTTTGTCATGTTAAGGTTTATCGAGTAGAAAATAAATAAATTCTTAAGAAGAAAACGATCATCCTTCTTCGATCATATATAATGATAAAATTATTTTCTACTTTCTTACTTGTGTTTATTATATGAACTGAATAAATAGAAGCATTTCTTCAATAAAATAAAGTAACATGACATCATATACTAGAAAATAATACCAATAGAACTACCTAAAAGCAGTTATTTTAAGGATTTAATGAGTTTTAATGCAGAAAAAAAAATTCTGTAATGAAAGGGTTAAATTATCAGACTATTAATATATTAATATAGAAGAAATCTAATGTGTTTTGTATATATCATCGATAGATAAAATGTATAGTGTCGAGCAAAATAGGGTTATGTCCGTTAAGTACAGCAACGATAAATTTTAAACGATTTTCACATGTCTATTATATGGATATGTTAATGGAATCTATGTGGCTATTACTGTCAAACATTCAAGATCTTTACAATGCTAATTTTATATTGGTATGCTTATAATATAAAAAATATTGCAGATAATTGTTAATACTTTGTTATTATTGATTTAGTTTCGATAAGAAAATCTTTCTTCTAGACATTTTTGTTTTGCTAATATTTGCAAAAGCGAAAAAATTCAAGGATTTCACTTTGCTTATTCATATAATTAAACGGATAAGGAAAAAACAAAAGATACATAAAAAAAAGAACCGGCATATATAGATGAATTATTTTTTCATTAGTAAATTTGATTTTCCATTAATCGTTGCTGTTAAATCAACAATTGGTGCTAATGATGAATTACCACCATAACTTTCACGCCTCATTTTAACAAGACCTTGTGTAGTTCCATTCTTTAATATATTCGATGATATATCTTTTTTACTTGATTCTTGAGATGTATCATTAGGTATTGATGTACGTTTAATACGTTCAGCAATCATAGGACTAATCATCGAATATATTGGTTTCGATGGTGGCATACGTTCATTAACTTGATCAAGAATTTTAACTTTTGAAAAACGTTCTTCAGTTGAATCATTACTATCTCGAAGAATATTTGCAGCAACTTCTGCTTCAGTTTTAACTTCCGTATTATTATTTAATTCAGTTAAATTTGTTGATGGAGTTAAACCACGTAATGTAATAATATGTTCACTTAATTCACGAAATGATTTATAAGCTTTCGCTACTTTACCTAATGCACGTATTTTTAAACGAAGTCGTTCTTTACGTAATTCACGTTCATTACGTTCAATTAATGTATCAATATGTTCATCATATTCAGCTAATTCCTCATCTGTACATATATTAAGAATACTTAAAAGTACATCGATTACTTTTTCACCAACAAATGGTAAGGACCAGGAAAAAACATCGATAAAATTTGGTAACCAATATGGATGTGGTGAACTATTAAATTGTCGTATATTAAGAACATTATTTTCATATTTCATAATAGCTGCTTTATTTTGATAAATATCAAGATAATTGGGTGCTGAAAAAATTGTTATCAATGATGGAAAACCAGTCTCAGCCGTTTTTTTATACATTCGATAACCCACATCTTGTGCTTCATGTGCACGTATTACTGAAAGTATCTGATTATGTAATAAAAATTCATTAACGGCAGCATACGTATAAAAATACGAACAACCACGCGTTGTATTATGCAAAAATAACTGTTCATTAGATGATGATGATGATGATGGAAGATTTGTTTGGGATAAAATATTTGAAGGTGAATCATTTAATGGAATACTTGTACGACGTTTAGGTGGTGTTGTTGATGATGGAATATCTGCTTCATAACCATAATCTTCAACTGGATCAGACCATAGAAGATCACACATTGCACCGTATGCTGGAGGTTCATGAAATCGATCCAGCTGGAAAAAAAAGACTTTTACATTTATGTGAAAATATAATAAAATTACCTGTCGTATATCATCTAATGTACGAATTTCTGGTGATATTCCACCATGTACACATAAAAATTGTTTATTCATTAAAGCTGCTAATGGTAAACAATCAAACGCACTCATAATAGTTTCATAAACTTTTTCTGTATATTTAACAAGACATTCTTGTTTAAAACTAAAACGAAATCTTAGATTTCGAAAGATATAAAACTAATATTCTTACGTAAAATAATCTGTTAAATGTCGACATTCATGATTTCCTCGAAGAAGAAAAAAATCCTTAGGATAATGTATTTTCAATGACCATAAATAAAGAACGCTAAAAAAAATATCAAATAAATTCAATAGAAAAAATAAATATTAATACCATTCAATTCCAAAATATCCTCGATCAACATAATCACCAAGAAATAAATAACGAGTTGTAGCTGGTGAACCACCAACTTCAAACAATCTGTGAATAATAATAAGAAAAAAAAGACTCAATTGAAACAATTCTATTTAAATTTACTTGATTAAATCATATAATTGTCCGTGAATATCACCGCATATTGTCAATGGTGCACTAATTTCAATCATTGTTGATTCTTCACGTAAAATAGCAGCACCTTAATGAACAAATAAAGAATAATTTTATTATAATTATTCTTGACAAACATCTCTCGATTTCTTATTCAACATGATGATAGATAAATGTCATATTATAAGAAAAGGAAAATGAGTGATTTATGAAAGTGTTGAGTGTTTATCCATTATAAATAACTTAAAACTATTTCGTTTTGTTTTACTTATCAGCTGATTAATATAATTACAAAATATAATTGTGATAAAAAACAGATTTGATACAGAAATTATTTGTTTATATTCATAGAAATATTTTTCCCAATTTTTTTTTCTTGTACCGAAAACAATTAGTTGATAATAAATATTATATAATTTGACATAAAGAAAAGTTTACTTTACCACTTTCAATTATTCGAAGTGCCGCTTGTTCTGTTAGACGACCTTCAAGTAAAAGATGTTGTTTAAGTATATCTAAATTAGGTTTGTCATCTGGATCGGATGAATCAGAATAAATATCTTCAATGTCTAGTCTATATGCGGGGGCTTCAGGCGCCGTTGGACAATTTCTTTCTGTTGTACTATAATTTGAAGTTGTTGGTGTTGTTAAATATAATGATGATGATGATGGTGGTGATGATGATACTGATAAAAACGCCGATGAGGCGTCAGGAGTTTGATCACTACTTGTC